TTGTGTTCAGTGCAGTCAAGGATTGGGATGACCAGCCAGCAGCCGCTTAAACATCGACAGTCTTTCCTTTCCTCTCACCGTTTTCCTCTGCTTGGATTTTTCTGCCGACAGACTCTTGTTACAGCAGCCAGGGCAAGCAGCTTTTTTTTTTCTTGACAATTACACCGTGTTATTTGTTATTGAATGAATTGACATCAGCTACAGTCTAAGCACTTTAAAACGTTATTTCATGATAAGATCACCGGGGCACATTTTTTTGGTGGGAAGGTAGCTGGACATGTGCACGTGTCAGTCACAAACCGTCATTTGTTAGCAGCGGTGCAGCTCTGTCTACTTCAGCGCCTTTGTTTTATTTGATTTCCTGTACCATTTTTTTCATGTTATTTTATTCGTTTTCATCAACTATAATCAACCTTACCCAATCTATTGAGCGCCAACAACCTCTCGACCGTAAGACAAACGTGCTTATCGCTTGACCTCTTGATGCCCTTTACAGGTTCAAAAAATGTCCCAACGTGACTGCACTTTTGCTGCAGTGGGTCACCGGATTCTACACAATGACACTGTTAAAAAAAACAACGTAACTCTTTTCATTCCATTTTTCAACACTGATATCACATCCCGTCATACATTTTAATGACCACCTCTCCGACACCTGCTCATTGTTGAACATTTTACCAGTATTTGTTGCCTGCCAAAACAATGACCTATCTGGACCCTCATTTATCCCCGAGCAGTCAAGCCCTCCTCAATCTGTCCTCTCCTATTCATCCATGGCACCGTAATAAGGATGGAGCCTTTGTTGGGTGATTCGTGCATTCAGCTCTTGTGGCAGGCGGAACTCTGTTTCACCGGAAGTAGTCTACTTCTTAAAATAAAGAAAATAATCGTAATAATAATAATAACTAAGGCCACTCGGTACTGGAATTAGCAATTAGTGCGAAGACATCTCACATCCCTCTTGAGCAATTTCAATAGTTCAAGTCTTTTGAGAATTCTTTAGACGGTAGTTTTCCCGGTTCTAAAGAAATGTAGCAAGTACTGAGGCATGAAACGTTCCTGAATTTTTTTTTTTCTGGAGTCACTAACAAATAAGCAACAGCTTTTATGAGTAAAATCATGCAAACACTCTTCAATGATTAAAAATGAGGCAGAACGAGAAGATCTTTTGATCAAAAGGACAATCAAACTTAAGCAACATGTCTGAGGTCATACTGAAGCTGCGCACCAAATGTTTACAAAAAACCCGTCTGATCTCAATCATGCAAAGAACTTTCTTGTTTAAAAAAAAAAAGTAGGATCTGAATGCGGACACATTGCTATTATAGTGAATAACAGTTGACTTTCTTATAACTAAGTGGCCTTCAATCAGTTTTCTTGGATAGACTTCAGCCCCCTGTGATGGCCCTGAACCAAAACCATACACCAAATGACAATAAATCATCACACCGCTCACCCATGACGATAATGTTCTCATTATCGTCATGTGGCTCGAGAGAAGGAATGGGTGGACTTTCAAAAGGGAGCTGTTGTCCAAGTATGCATCCTTATGTATCATAAGCCAAGTACTTTGTCGTTGTCTGGCTATTCCCGTTTATCTTCAAAAAGGGACGATGTGACCCATCAACCCCACAGGCATGTTCTCACTGTCCGATGCCATAGATTGATCGTAAGACTCAAGAAAAGACGTCACGCTCTCAAAGCTCCAAGAAAAAGAATTCCCATCTGATTCGACTTAATTCTGTCCACCAACATGAGGAACAGGTTTATCAATTTCTTGTTAGCTCACTGTTGGTCTGCGTGGAAATAGAGAGCGAGGAACTGACAACGTGTAAAACAAGCGATTAGCCGTCGTAATGGAGGAAAGTTGGAGCTTGGGGATTAGCAGCGACCAAGAATAAAAACGTGTACATTTTTATGCGGTGAAACGAAACATGGCACCAGATTTGTTGGTCTACAAAACAAACTTCACAAAAAAAGAGTCCCCCTTTTTTTTCCGGTCAATTAAAACCTTTTAGCATCTTTTTTACGATCTAAAAGAGAGAGTGCACTGAACTCGTCACTAAGTGTCACTATAAATTTGCCATCGATAGCCACGAGGCTGTTTTTCATCTGCGTTAGAACAGATGGTACAGTATCATCAGCCTTTGAAGGAAAAAAAAAAAAAAAAGCAATCGTTCAACATCGTTGGGAAAAATAGCTTCTTTAAAGTTGTTCAATTGAAACCATGACCGGCTGTTATTGGGAAACAAATTGTGAGGCAATAGCCAGCAATAACTTCAACATGTAAACGCTCGCTGAAATATACGGTTCTCCTGAGCTTTTCACAATAGCATATGTTTACTCAGCAAAAATGTCAAGACCTTCCCGAGCTCAAATTAGACGCTAGCCAGATAGCTTAGCCTAAATTGAAGAATTTGTCACTGTAATTAGCAATTCTTTAAAAAGGTTTTTTTAAAAACGATGAGCAACAATGACTTTTTGTGGCCTTATGGAGATTTATGAAGACTGGCAAAGAAATGTAAACATTAGCTTTGACATAATAGTACATCTTTGCAGTGTGGAATCGGGCTATGGTTTAATGGCGGCGCTATGAAGTTAGCTGCCCGATCACAGGTGGAAAAAAAAAAAAACAGGACGTTTTTATGTAACTTAGTCCTATCGTGACATAAAAGTGGGACGCAAGTGCACAGTACATTTTCAGAAGCATGAAGATAAAAAAAAAATATAAACGAATAATAACCATGTGTTTGTATACGGTACAAACAACAAAGAGGCATTTTCCATAAGATGTCCCCTTTCAGCGTTATTTGAAAAGGCCAAATGTGGTAAGAACAAAGTGTGGAAAGTGCAGGGCGATGTGAAGCAGTCACTATGGTGAGAGTATAAATACAGCAGGGATTATAAAGTCACCCTGTTCTGCTTTCTGCGCTCCATCTCTTGTGACAGAACAGAGAGGAAGAGGCTTACGACTGACATCTGCATTGTAAAGTGTGTGTGTGTGTGTGTGTGTGTGTGTGCATGCGTGCTTGCGTGTGTGTGTGTGTGTGTGTGTGTGTGTGTGTGTGTGTGTGTATCCCTGGCAATTTATCACAACTTCAGACATCCTGTCAGGTTTGTGTCTGCAGGCCCATCCGAGGCATGCACACGGCTGACCTCCATGGCTCCTGTTCTATTTATCCATCCCCAGCAGATCACAAATGCAAATGAACTAATTTTTTCTGCCTTCATACTTTTTTTTTTT